CCGGCGGCCCTCGGGGGAAGGGGAGAGCTGAGGCGGGGCGCGGGAAGGCCGCAGTGCGAGTGCGGTCAATGGCCCGCACCGAGCTCTGGTGCCTGCTCTGGTGCAGTTGGGTAAAGTGTGGGGTTAGGGTTGGTTTTTTGGTGTTTTGTGGGGCTTTTTTCTGACTTACCTTTCTTAAGTGGTTATTACTATGGTACGCGACAGCAGTAGTGTTGTGCCAAGGTATCAATAGACTAACTGCAGCGAGGGAGTTTTCAGCAAGGTTTAATATTGTAATTCTGAGACACTAAGGCAAAAGGACAGAAAGAGAAAACCTGCAAGCTCAATCCTGGGTGTTTATGCTGGTTTATCCTATTCGTCTTTTGCTTTTTACGCCACTGAACAGAGTTGAGAGCGCTTGCTGGTATGAATCAGGCTCCCAGAATTTCCTTGGTTGTACTGTTGCTTGCTTGAGTTTTCCCTGCCTTTCTCTCTGGATTTTACTGTACGCGTTGCCACGATGTTCTGGAGCGGGTTATACCCAGGAGGGGTGGTCTTGGGACACTGAAACTTCTCACAAATTATATAACCAGCTTTTGTTATTGCGACAAATCCATCTGCTGTTGGTGCAATTCTGTTAGCAGTTGTGTATATGCACTGTACAGCCAGCAAGGCACCTGCGGAAACCAAGCTCGGAATAAAGCATTTACTGTGTGGTAGGATTGGACTTAAAATATGCCACGACCTTCAAATGGTCCCTTGTCACCAGACGATTTGAACTCAGTAAAACTGGGTCACATAAAGAGCAAGGAGGAGAGGGGAAAAAAATAAGCCATGCTGCTTGTTTCTCCTTAGAGCATTATAGATTTGCATAGTAGAAACTTACAGAAACCTTTCTTGCTTTGCCCTTAAAGTCGCTGCTGATATTTGAACCCACAATATTTTTCTCTACTATGTGCTGGAATACTCCAGCTGTAGTCTTGTAGTCGCAGCTTCCCGTGACAACGCTAATACGCTGCCTCTGGATTTGGTATTCTAGCCTCTGCTCTGATACTTGCCCAAACTGTTGCTGTGTGGCATGTTTCCCTTCTTACAACATGAAGGATGCTACAAGCCGATTTAATACAGGAAGGAGTACAGACTTTCTTGTGGTTGCTAGCATTTCACAATTGCTCACCACTTGCAACATCCCAGACTGTAATGGACTGATCCAGCGACCCAGTGTACATGTACTTATCATCTTTTGAGAAGCAAGCACAGCAAATGCCTTTCAGGAGAGATGTGGGCTGAAAATGGATGGTTAGGATTAGATTGTTACGCTGGTAAATACAGGTTGGAGTGAAGATGCCTTATTCGGTGGTTATGCAATGCTTAAGAATAGAGGTAATAAATAAAGATTTTTCACAAGAGTGATCCTGGAAGGAGGATGGGAGGTATCACAAAATAAAGCCCCTAGCTTATGAAGTAGTCTATAGCTGTGCAGGAAAGAGCGTAGTATGACTGTACAAAAGCCTGTTATTCCACCTATGGAAAGGAGTAGCTCAGGCACGTCCGTGGTCTATTGTCAGGTGAAAGAGTAACAGCGCTGATCCAGCTTCCATCACTTTTTTTGTTTCCCTTACTGGATTCTCCTGAGCTGGCCCAATTTACCCCTTCTGTTGTTATTGTTAACTTGTGAGGTCTCATTCTCTTCACTGATTTGTGTCACCTAGCTTACACCAGCTAAATGAGCAGTAATAAGCTGTAGATAAATAACTCCTGTGACTTATGTTTAGTGTCAGAGCAGTGTTAACAGCACTCATTCCCTTAGACAGCACTGACACCTTGATAGTGTATCTAGATGTAAGGATGCTTTAAAATCAGACCTAGATGCTAAGAATAGTTTGCTGCCTGTCAGTCTGAAGTTACATATAGGATTTGGGTATTCTCTTTGAGAGCTGGGAAGCCTGTCAGTTGGATCTTCCCTAACAGCTCAGGGCAGTAATCAACTATTGACAGTCTTACCGCTGTAGTACCTTACAATAGCACATCTCGTGTTCCTGCCGACAGAACTCCAAGTCCCAGAGGCGCTGCAGGGAATCCTCAGATCCACTGAGTGCCCACTGCTCTCCGTGGCTGCTTTCCAAACGGGAGATCTGGCTTCTGTGACCTTCCAAAGGAAACACTCGGGCCTGAGGGCAGTCATAAAGGAATAAGTCCCCGCTAGTCATGCCGTAGAGGACTCTGTAATCTGCAAGGACAGCTGCTCTCGAAATGAGAGAGCCAGGGATCTGAGTTTTAAAGGTGTAGGTGGGCCTGTTGATCACTGGGCATGGATCTGCAGGGATAATATCCAACACAAGGACTAAATCATCGCATGCTATGGCAAGCTGCTTTTCCTGCTTGTTGATTGCCATGTCGTTGACTGATTTTTGTGATTCTGGAGGTGGGATGTATGCTACATCCTGCTTGGAGTTCAGGGGAAAGACGAGGACTGTTCCAGATATAAGCCCCGTGAAAAGGAGCTGGTTTTGCTCAGCTATTTCCAGGCATCTCACTTGGGCAGAGGTGTCCAGGGTGTCACACACTTCACCTGTGAAACAGAAGGGAATCAGCAAGACTGTTCTTACTCCAAGTGCATGTGAATGTCTTCTCTCAGATGAGGCTCATGATTGGCTTCTTTATTTGTGAAATAGTTTGCATATCATTCATTTTTCCCGTTTTCCCATGTCATAATAATAAGCTATTCTAGACAAAAACTTTCGAGAGGAGATCAAAAAGCTCTCCAAGCCTGAAACAAGTTTTCCTAAATCTCATGCTTAGAAAAAGCAGAAAGGAGCAGGCTATGCTTGTCATATGCTCAGAAAGCTAACCCTACCTTTGCTGCCTCAGTGAGTTGTTTTGTTTCTATCCTACCCCAGATGCAGGCTTAATTTAATGCAGTATTTCTGAGATGCAGTTCACCTTCTGTGGCGTTCCAGATGACAACTTTATGTGTCTTCAGGTTGAGTAAAATAGGCATAGTTCCCCCCGTGGGACAGTGCAGCGCAGCCTGTATTTGGGACAGGTGCCCAGGTTTTCTGCTGATGATTGTAAATGAGGTTCCACACTCCTAGATACGGGGCACTGTGGGAGACAGAAACCAGTGTGCAGTCGCACAGGGCGAAGAGTGTTACTGGTGCTCCCATGCCATCCAGTGTGTCCATCAGCAACCCCTGCTCTGATAAACTCCACACCTGTGAAAAGTTGAGGGGGGAGAAGTCATCAGTGCCTGAGCTACTTTTTCCTTAGTCCTATTTAAGAGGTAAAACAATATACCTTAACTAACTTGTACAGAAACACAAATAAAGTCAAAGGATAACATCCTAATACTAGAAGGCAAAACATTGCTTTCTTACTCTAAAACAAATGTTTGAAGCACCTGGAGCCATTCAGCCCACTTACTTCCTTTGCTCTGAAAGGTGCCTAATTAGATCCTGCACATTTTGGACTGTACTGGCTGTTTATTATAAGAAAATACAAGAAATGTTATAAGAGAGTTGAACAGATAGATGGGTACCATGGATAGAGATCCCCTGCTAAATCCCACTATCATCTTCCCTTGCTTCTGGATCAGAACACTGGAGGTTGGTGTTTCTTCCTGTATCCCTGAGAGCTGACGTTTGGATCTCAGCTCACCGGTGTTGCTGTTCCACAGACTCAGTGTTCCTCCTTCAGACACAGTCATAATCACCAGCCTTGGGCTGAGTACTGCAGAACACATCCATGCATCTGATGCCTCTCCAGAAATCTGGAAGATGAGTTCTGCTGTCTCCAGGCGCCAAGTGTTGACCTAGTAAAGAGGTGGCAAAAGAGATAAGAGTAGCAAGGATTGAGGTAGCTTTTCTGTCTACGACCTTCCTGACTGTGGCTGTAACTTCTAAAGTTCTTGCTCTTTCAGCACATTTTAAGTTAAAGACTGGCCATACCTTTGTATCTGAGGAAGAATATACAATCCTGCGCCCCTCATCCACATGAAGGTCATATGAGGGCTGTTCTTTGATATGCGTGTCCTGGATAATAAACCTTGCTCTGCCAGAAATCAAATTCCAGATGCGCAGGCTGTGATCCATGGCAGCTGAAACAGCACAGGTTCCTTTTCCAAACGCTTTCACACACCTCACCTCAGCTATAAAATAAGGCAAGGATTCACAAAATGAGGGATTCTCAGTGCTTTCAGCAATTGGGGGAATGCTGGCAGCTGGGAGGTGCCTTTGTGCCTACAGCTCGAGGACCACCAAGCTGTCAGAACTCTTTTCAGACATGGAAAGAGCTTTCCAACCGTAAAAAGTGGAGAAGGCTCACTGGCGTGCCCAGGAAGGGCGTGCAGCATCTCATAACCTTCCATGTTCCAGACAAGCATTGAGCAGGCTGGGAACCTGCCACCAGCAGCCGGTAATCAGAACTAAGTGCCATCACTGTGACACCTGCCATGAGACACAAAGAGGAAAGGCTGTTCTTGGTACCACAGACAGAAGAGGGACATTCTGGGTTGTTAATATGCTGTGTTTCCCCAACTGGAACCCCCCTATGCTTCTGAACCCCGTAGTCTGTGCCAACAGCAAGATTAGGTTCCCTCAGACATATCTGGGTCAGTGTGTGCTTTTGTTGTCCTGACGACAAAATGACCCACTTTATCCTCATTTGTCGAAGCAATTGCGAATGGGACTGGTGCATGACTGAGCACAAAGGCAAACGGACCTTTATCCTGCCTTTGTGTAAGCTCACAGGCAAAACTGTATTTCTACAGAAATAGATGTTCTCTCCTTCTTGCTCTGTTTATTTATTATGTTTCTTGGATCTCGTTCATAACAGATGGATGATTAGATATATTCTTGGGTTGTATCTGTCCCCAGGACTAATCCTACCTTTGAGGAATCTGGTGAGCGTTGTGCGTAGGGGCCCACCAGGTGGCTGGAGAAATCCGCACAGTGGAATGAGAACAGGATAGGGACAGACGCTGCACCAGCTTAGGCACTGCTGGCACAGCTTCCCGATTACCTCCGGGTAAGAAGGCACGAAAAAAAGAAACCTGGCCAGCATTTCTGTGTATATTACACTCACTCCTAAGAGGGCAGAGACAAAAAAGCGTTTTGGAACATGACTGTGGTGGGCCTGTGAGAGCTACCATAGTTGTATTTTATGTGATGGACAGTATGTAATGAACTGAGCTGGCCTTATCTGGCCAGGCACTTGAATAATATAAGGAAGGCTACAGTGTAAAACACGGGCAAATGTAATGGTGTGGCAGGATTTTTTCTCTGAGGAGGAGTGGGTATTCTGAGGAGAAGACCGAGGAGCAGCACTGTGTACCCTCTCCTCTAGTTAGCTTTAACGCTTGCAAGGGAATCCAGGTAGCTAAGAGGTGCTCGTACTAGCCGTGGGGCAGGAGGCGCTTTGGTTGTGGTAAACTGCTCTAATCAAATAGACAAAATGTCTGTTGGCGAAGAAGGAACCTCAGCTTCCCATACAGAGGCCCTACCAGAAGGAGGCATTTACAAGTCTTTTGATGGATCTCAGAACAGAGAATTTTGTCACTGGCTGTAATTCCTCAGAAAAGTACTTTTACTTGGAAAGGAAAATTCCAGTTCTTTCCTCTGGTAGACATTTGCATCCTGCTCTGTCACTCTGACATAGCTGTTACCTTTGGGGCTGTGGATACTGCTGACTGCAGGCTTCAAACGGAGAAGTGTGTCCTGCACGAGGCGTAGTTCTGGACAGCTGATGCATTTGGTACACGTGGCAAAGTCGTCAACAACACTCTCTGTTCCAGAGGCGATTATTTTACAGCTGATCCAGTTCATATTCTCTGCAGAAAGAAATACTCTTTGAGCAGACAACATCAGCCCTGAGAATGCACAGTTATTCTGAAAAGACTGAGATAAAAAAATGCTTTTATGGGGAAGGAGGGGATGGAAGGATTAACAGCCACTAGCAGTGGAACTAGGACTCATTTGCTGAGGAAGTGGAGAGCTCCCATTGTCACAGTTCCTTCTTTAGCCTCATAAATGCTGTGGTTTGTTTGGTTTTTTTTTTAATTTGTTAGGTTTTTAATATGTTTTCTTCTCAGCATTTGGAGGATCTAGGTAATTTCTTTCAGCTGCTAAAGGAGCGTGGTGATAATTCTAGGATAACAGTTCGTAAAAGCTTATTTCTCTTTTTCAAGCTTCCTTCTCACAGCATTTTTTGATGCTGTGCAGAAAGGTGGTGATTCTTACCTGTGGCTGTACGCACGAAGCATGCCTCTGCAGAGCACTGTACACCCCCTCTTGCCCAGTCCTACCCAGCACATCCCGTTTTAGCTCCTCAATTCATCCAGCATTAAGTAAATGAAATGGCGATTCACTCGGCTTCCTCAGATTTGCAACAGTATCAGAGAACCAGAGTGGCTGAGGGGCTACCTAGGAGTAACCAGAAGAGTGGATTTGAGACATGGCTTGTGGATTAATCTGTTTGCTTTCACAGCTTCCGTGCTAGACGCTATCTCGTGGTATGCCAGACAGCACTTCCGGGGCTTTCATTGTTTTCCTGTTAGTAGGAAATGTTTTTCATGATTCTAAATCTTTCTTGCTACAATCTAAGGCAGGCTGCCTTTCTGCAGGTGTGAATAATAAATTACATCCTTCCTTCTTGCAGTAGCCTATTACATATATGAAGACTGCATGATAAAGTTTGTAAAGTGACTTTATATCTCCTTGTTTGGAGATACCTGTTTAAAAAAAAATTCTTTGTCATTGTTGAAAGCACAGAATAGTGTTATTTACTATTATTTTCATTGTCTTCTGATTTCAGACCCTGTCCAGCAGTCTGGAGACACAGAGCCCCAGTCCAGAGCTTACAGGTATGGAAACGCCTGCTGATATTCCTCACCTGCCTGTCAGCATTCAAGGTTGTGCTAAAGTGTGGCAACATAAGAGGCTCCAAGTCCCCTTGAAGAAATCTGCCAGGAGAAAATGCCTCTTGATTTGGTCTTGTTTTGATAGATAACAATTCTTCACTGTTTCAACAAATTGCCTGGGAAGGGAAAAAGTAACAGATGTACCGGAACGGGGAGCTAGAGCTGGGTTTTTTCTAGAGTCTCAGCACTGACAGAGTTTAAGAATGGCGAGCAGTCTAGGCAGGGTGCTCGAAAGCCCAGGATGGGAACATCCCATACTCAGAGGTTTGGCTTCTCGTTCTCTGCCCTCTAAGAGTACCTGTGTGCAAAGCAAAGAAGGGTGAAGCCGTCTGCCTTCCGTTCTGCCAGGCACTCTCCCATGTCACTGCGTAGCCGTGCCCAGTGGAGAGGAGGAAGGCGCAGGATAATTTTACTTGAAGGAAGGTGGCAGTGGTGAATCTTTGAGAGAACTTCATCGTCAAGGGATAAAACATCCTTCAATTCCATGTCTGACAGCACATTTCTGCAGGCGAAGTGTGATATATGAAAGGAAATTATTTATCTTCCTCCTTACTGTTTACACTGATAGCCGTAGTGGGAGGGTGAGCAGTTTTTCTGGCAGTTCAAAAGTACTAGTCACCAGAAATCTCACTAGCTCACGTGCAGACATGGCAGTCTCAGCTGAGAGCTTAGACCCTGAATAAGCCATAGGGATCAATTTCCTTTTCCAAGTAATCCCAGAACATCTCCCTTCAAGACAATAGTTTAGGTAGGCTGCCAGGTATGAGAGGAATGTTACGCTTGCTAAATATATGTATGAACACATTCACAGGCTCAAAGAACTGAGAGCTTTGACTGGTTTTGGCTGTATTTAGAGGGATTCCCTATGAACAGCAGGGATTATGGGCTGTTCTGTCAGAGATACAGCAGTACTCTGTGAGGAAGCAATATAGCCAAGCACATGAGCCACAAGGACGGTGCCGTGTGACTTTTCCAGTCTCTCACACAGATGGTACATGGTGTCCTGGGCTGTGCTAGCAATCACTAGTTCTGCAGGTGAGGTGTAAGAAAGATGCCCATTTTCTGGCCTCGTGGAAGGCCAGCTTGAAGAGCAGGGCTTGCCCACCACTAGGGAAGCTCTGACGGAAATAGGCCCGTTGAGCTGGGCTTAGCCGTCGGCTGTCTGATGCTAAGAGCATCTCTAGCATCTCCTCACCTTCCTCACAGGATAAGGGTCCTACTTCAAAGTACGCTTCAGCCTCAGGCACAGCGTGTTGGAGAGCTTTCAGAGTATCAGGCTCTGCTGTGGAAATGGAAATGATGATGTGGACCTTTGGAGGGCAATCTGTAGGGAGCCAGTGGAATCTGTGAGCGCCATCACCAGGACGTAATCTCTCCACCGAGTCAAGGAACAACATCAGTGTTTGTGTGCCGCAACGGGAGACAGTGAGGAGGAGTTTATTGAGGAACAAGACTAAATCACTGCAAGCCTGTTTGGTCTGGGTTGGAGGTGGTGGCAAATCAAATGCTAAACACACTTGGAGACAAATGTCCCTCAGCAGGCTGTGAATAGCAGAACTGAGCTGGGATGTCCTCAGCAGACGAATCACCACTATGGTGCCTTGCCCTAAAATAGCTTGCATCCGCTCAGACAGTTTGCACATCACAGCTGTTTTTCCACAGCCTGGTGGCCCATAAAGGATGAGGGCTGCGTGGGTTTTATTGTTGTTCTGCCTAATATGGTGAAAAATGGTATCCAATAAATTCTGTCTCCCACAGACAAATCTGCAGTTCTTCAGGCACAGAGCTGTGTCGCGGCCCAGCTCCTGCAGACGTCGCCCTGGCTCCTCACCGATCCATCCTCGGCATCGAAGATTCTCTAAAACCTGGTGATTAGTGACAGCAGTGAACTGCTCACAAAGTTGTTTCAGGTATTCGTTATTCTCCTTGCACTGAGGGTTCCCAGAGTCTTTGCTGTATGCCAGCACGTGTACTTTGAGGTGTTTGGGATAATGGCTTGCAATTTTTGCTTTTAAGGTTGACGAGCAGCTGTTTTGCTTCACTGTCCTCTTTCAGCTCACAGTTTGTCCCTTGCCCAATTTGCCTGTTGGAATCCTCAGCTTCTCTAAGGAATATGAAAGCCCCTGGGTTGCTCTCCTAGGTATTGAGGAGACCCTGTTCAATCTCCCATTCAATCACTACAAAAAAAAAAAAGGGAAGATGTGAGCATTCAGTTTCAGAACAGAACACAGGAAAAGCCATCCATTGATTCATGTGACATCCCTTGGTCCTTCTGTGTTTCGCATGGTGCTAGCAGGTCGGCCCCTTGGTCCTTCTGTGTTTCGCATGGTGCTAGCAGGACGGCATTCCCCACGTCCTCTGAGCTAGGCATACTCCTGGATGTGGGCGGGGAGATCGGGGGGAAAAGGAAAAACATTTCTGTCTGGTGTGTTACTGTTCGCTAGTCAGCACCAACCTCCCTCCTCAGGATTCGGGATATGGCAGATAGATAACAAGTCTCTTCCTTTCCTGCGTCTTCCCTGTTGTATACAATCTGATGTTGTCTTGAAACAAACAGCTGTCCTCCCTGACAGCTCTGGTTAGGACATCACAGCCCTGCCAGGGCACACCTGATTTGTGGTAGCAGTGCCTCTGCTCTGGGCCGAGCAGCCCGCACCTCTCTGCCTTCTGGGCTGCGGCGCGCAGCGCTGAGGCCAGGCGTCTCTCCAGGCAGTGCCAGGCCTCCCCGTCAGCCGGCTGCAGCACACAGCAGGTGGGCAGCGCGTTCTCATCCCGCCGGCACCACTGTGTCAGGAGCTGGGCAGAGTCCCCTGACAGCTGCAGAGTTAGGGCCTCAAATTCCTTCTCCGCAGTGAGCCGAGGCACAGTTTGGTGGCCACAGCAGTCCCCCAGGAGTCCCTGCAACAGGCAAAAAAGGCCTGGCATTCAGGCATTGCTTCAGCAGTGACAGCTGGGCTGTGGACTGGCTGCTTGCCTTTGTACCTAGGATTGCTGGGGGGGCTGCTTAGAAAACCTGCTGGTAACCACAGCGCCCGTGTGGCTTCCATGCTGGATGGGGACAGCCAAGCAGAGTCCCAGCCTGCCCCGAGGTCGGGGAGAAGGGGCTTTACAGCAGCTGCTCCTCAGGCTTTTACAGCGTGTCTGCGGCGGGGGGAGAGTGATGGAGGTGAGGCAGTGGAAGCACAGAGCGGAATTGGTGTGGGGGCTTTTGGGCAATGGCGCTGTAAGATTGGCTTTGGGGTGGAGAAGAACTAAGGGAACAGGGCTGAGCCTGGGGACTTTTGATTAGGACTGAAGGCTGGGCCGGGGAAGGGTGAGACCTTGAAAAGAGCCAGCATCCGGTATCCATGCAGTCTGGAAACAGCCAGAATGAGTTCAGAGCGCAAACCCACAGCGTAATCCTTGGGCAGTGCTCTTCTGGTGGGTGTAAAGGGGAGAGGGAGCAGTTGAACCTTTGTGGCTGGCTCTACTGAGATTTCTAGGTACACGCTGAGAACCAGTCTGAGGACGACACTGCCTGAGTGCCTGCTTGTGCCATCTGCACATGTGATGTGACGCCGCTCACAGAGGTGTGAGCTGCAGGGAGCTCAGCGATGGTGAGCTCCTGGGTGCCGTACGGCTGTGCTGAGGCTCATGGTCTCTGCCCCTCCGTTGCTGGCCTCTGGTGGAAGTGTCTCGAGGGAAATGAGGCACAACTTGCACAAATACTTAATTGGTTATTTATTTACTTGTGGCTTCAATTATGCCCCTTGGGACTGTGTATTTATTCTCTTTGTTCAGCAAAACTTCCTTTCTCCCTTTCTAAAACCAAAACAACCTGAGGAAGCAACCTGGCACTTCTGCAGGTGTCTCAGCCTCGTCTCCGCTTCTGCGAAGCTTGAAATTCTGGGTGTGGGTTTCCATTCGGGGCTGTCAGCAAAGCACTTCAAGGAAGCTGAGGGGGGCTGCTGCTGTGGGGAGCTTTCAGTGGTTAGAAGGAGCGATAGGAGGGATTTATGGGAGGCAGAAGCATGCCACAAGTATCAGCTTGCAGCGTGACACCCTGCTCTGTTCCTGGTGGTTGCTATGGCATTTTCCTTTCTGGTTCTTTGCATAGGGAATTCGTATTTATTCCTTAGTTACCGAGAAAATCTCCTCGATATTGAGGTACTGGGCAGGAAGCAAGCTCGGAGCAAGAGCTTCTTGCGTTATGTGTGTCTCCATCTGCCTCTTGTATCTGCTAGTGAACACACACAACCCCTGTTATCTTCTGCTCTAAAGAGACCCTGTGTTCAGGGCTGGCCCATACATGTGTTCCTGTCTAGGCTCCTTTGGTCTTTTAGGGACTACTGGCAGCTGCTGACATCTCAGCCCCATCAGCTAGCTGATTTGTGAAGCTGCTCAGGCAGGCTAATTACTTTTGAAAACCACCTTACTTGTCCAGCAGACCTGAGTGTGTGAGGCCTGCCCTGCGTGTCTCACTTTAGCCACAGGGACTGAGGTTGCACCGCAGGGCTAGCACTTACGATGAAGGTGGGACCAGCTGACAGTTTCTGACAGGCTTCAATTTCCTCCAGGCAGAGTTGTGTGTTTCTGGGATCTGTGTCTACAAGCTCAGAAATACCCCATCTCAAGTCAATTACCTGCACAAAAATATTTTTTTGAAGATTCTTAGACTAGTCAATACTATCATAAAATCAGTGACATGGGAAAATTAAGTCATTCTATCATGTTTAATTTTTAAATCAGTCTGAACACTAGTAGTACGCAACTTTTAATTACTGGAACTCTACAAGAGACACTGAGATATTCAAAATCTCTCAGCAGGGATTTCTCCTGTGAAAGACTTAGGGATTTGGAGCATGGATGACCAAGTAAGTGACTTAGTTTTTCAGGACAAGGATCCTCAAGACTGTAGGTTATTTGCTGCAACATTTGAAGCCTATCTTCTATCATAGAAGATAATGATCCCCAACATTTCAATAGCCCCTTTTATGCTAGAAGTTCTATGCAAATTAGTATAATCAGGACTAGTTCAACTATCCCTGAAGTATATCCACTGGAATTTATACATGCCATGAACTTTTTTTCCAATTGAATATAGCAACAAAAGGATGATGTAAACCCTCATGTCCAGGTGCTTGATGGTTAGCCACCTAACGCTTCACTGAAATCCATACAACCCAAGCATACAAATACACTTAATCCAAAAGTTCTGGGAAATCGGTACAGCAGTATTTGACTCCTAGGAGGCTTTTAAGGAGATGGAAAACCTATGAGAATTTTTTTTTTTTTTCCTCTATCCCACATATTTTGATGGCCTTTGGACAGGACAGACAGGAGAGAAGTGATTTACCTCAAACATTAGGCCATGCTTCTGACAGAAGGCCTGTGCTTCTGGGTACGCTTTCTCCAGGAGGGTCTCTCGTTCTGTAGCCATGTCTGTATGGGAGGATTTGTGCAGCACACCAGAAGTTAGGAACTTGGAGCTGGGTTTTTACTTTGTCTATGTGCCGTGTTAGACCTTACAGCAAAAATGCAGTTTGCATTGCTATCATCTAATGTGTGTTGAGTTTTGTATAGATGATGTTGTGGTTAAGTCTTGTAAAACCGGGGTCTCCAGATGTCTGCAGGCTTGTGCCCGCGTTACTACATTGCCAATGCGAGCGCATTTTCAAGGTTCTATACTGGCTTGTCACACTGTGTTTTTATTTGCTAATATGAAAACTCTGGATCTGGAAATTTGGGATTACATAGTTACAGAATACAATACAGCAGCATTGATCCAGAAAAATATATTTCTTAAATCTTGCTGCGGCAAATCCTCTGTCCTATTTTAAGGGCGCTCAGCCACACTGTTGGCCATCTCAGGGGTGATAAGTAGCCACAATAAAAGGCAATTCTACCCACAGGGAATCTTTTCATACAGAGTCAAGTCTGTGAAATTTTTATGGCCGCTTCCCCCGCTGTGCTTTTTACAAGAGAGATTACCACTTTCTAGAAAAATCTTTGTGACACCTTTGGAGTGACATATTCGCTGAATTAAATCAAACAACAAACTAAGGAAATGTAAGATAAATTAAGAAGACAAAGCAAATAGGAGAAAAGGTAAGCACATAGATGCACACAAACACAAGCACGAGTGCTCACTCCCAGCACCCACTCCCGTACACTGATACGCAGGTCTTACGTTCATGGATACTTTTCATCCCTGCAAAATTAAAAGACATGGGGAATATAAAGGACATTTTTCTTCTTGCATATGTTTTATCATATGAGATTATAATTTCTTCAGAACTGGAGTATTCTCTCCCCAAAATTATGTAAACATTCATGGCACCACATAATCATGTGATAAAGTAGTACAAGAGGGAATGCTAAAATTAGGACGGGGAACGGCTGTATCTGCAGCTTTCCTTGGGACTGTTCTAAGTGAAAAGTGATCACTAATGAAGTCTGTGCCAGCATCAGATGAGGAAAGGGCTGCCTTGGGTTAGGAATTATCACGTCTATGCTGCTGTCCAACAGGGAGCAAGCACTCTTGGCGTAATACCCCTGGAATAATTCATTAGCTCTCACCAAGGTTGCAGTAGTTATGGGAAATCCTTGTATCGCTTTACACTCCAGCCCACATGAACTCCAAACTTTACAGCGAGAGACTGGGTTTAACTTATAACCCTGTCTTTTGGTGAAAATCCAATCACGTGTCACATCCTTCATCCCAAAACTGTTCCTGAAAATACATGAGGTGTCCAGAACTTGGACAGGTGTTGTAGGTAAAATCTTAACACTAGCTGTGTCCTTACGTGCCCGCTAATTTCAGATTGTCTGCAGTTCTCATACATTCCTTCCAGAAACTGTAGCCGTAACCGTTTCTGTAAATGCTGACCTATCTGCTTAGGCTGGAAACACCTCACTGTCCAAACAGCATATTCATCACGTTGTCTCCCACTGGAGCAGATGCTGCAATATTTTCTTTCTTTGGAAGGCACTTTTTGTGGAATTGAGAGCCCATCTAAGCCTATGTTTTCTTATTTAAAATTGGAGACAGAGTGAACGATTTTCAGAAGAAGGGGAAATTGAGTTTTGTAATTCCTGAAAATCTGAGTCATTGCTACCCACTGCCAGTTACCACTTCAGGAGCTCAGTCTGGCAACTGTGTCCCAGTAGGCAGAGGAAGTGGGAAATATTTGGATATTGTCCAAGAAGAGAAGTTCTTCACGAATATTTCTTGCTGTCACAGCGGTGGATGGGAATCAAATGTGTTGCCCAGGGTTTCGAGAAAGCCTGCAGACTTTGCTGTCTTGTGTGCAGACAGGCATTGCGCTGCACTGAGCTGCTATTGCACAGTAGTGCCCAGTGCTTCACTGCAAATGCCGTTAGTTCCTGAACTAATGCAGAATTCTGCCATCTCTGACATGTTCTAAGTGCAAATTGGGTGTGACAGAATAAAGCTGTATATAAAATGCAGCAGATTATAGGCATCTTCACTTTCAAATGAAGCTGCAAGCTTACAGCTTCGCTGCTAAGCGCCGTAGTCTCACCACATTGTAGCACTTTGCAGACTCTAGCAGAGAGAGTGCCTGATGCATTCAGCAGCTTCAGGACTTTTCAGCTTATTTACCTGAAAAAACTGAGCTGATGAAGATTCGGACCAGGCTGGAGGGCTGCGAAGGAAGAGGAACCGTCTTCCCACAAAGGAGATCCCGGCGTGTATCTGGAGTGAAGCTCATGCTGCTACCTGGGCTCCCCGAGTTCTCCTCAGCAGAGACTGCTCGTTAGAGAGGAGATGACTAATGGCGATGAACACCAGGCAGTGGTGGCTCTCTCCAGAAAGCTGCCTTGCTCCTTCCTTTAAGGAAAGCCTGGGAAAATTTCAGCTACTTTGACGGGGCAGTAGGAGATGGTTGACTGCACTGAGATGCAGTGAAACTTCCCTGCATCCTGGAGCGATCCATCTGTATTTGAAGAGGGCGGATATCTCTATAGCAACCCGTGTTTGTCACTCGGGCAGAATCCCCCCGGTCTCTTTCTAAGGCACTAAATGTGCTCCCTGGCAGGTGCCGTACACCTGAGGTCCCTTTGTTCGCTACCCTTGACTATTTTACAAATACTCACCTGTGTATTTTAGCATCAGGTAAGCCTACCAGTACTAGTATCATTTATGTTTCAGGCACTCTCGGGCATTTAAACTAGGTTTCTTAATACCCAGGGAGTACGCCTGTGCCCTGCCGCTCTTTGCCTTTTGTCAAGCTGTGCAAGAGTGAATTTACTACAAGGCGTTGAAACTGTGCACAATAAATATTTACTACTTTATGGCTACGTTTGGACTGGGGTACCATCCCCGAAAAAGCAGCACGTGGGAAAAGGTAGAAAGAAAAATTTAGCAATTTACAAGCTTAAAGGCAGGAAACTGCAGCTGTCAGCAGAGAACAAGTGGAAAAATAACATTTCTGTCCAAATGCCCTTGGAATGCACAGGGAGAGAAGGTAACTGGTGCAACCATCTCAGCAGAGGCCCTGACAGAATAGCTGTCTCCACCTCACGTTCACAGAGCATGCTTTTCAGTGCCTTTCTTCCATGCTGGTCTGCTTTCCAGTATTCACAGCACGTTGCTATTTCAGTTTGTTCAACATGTGTTTCTGTATTTGTGCAGTATAGCTTTTCCCATAAGAAAGGCTGCTTTCTCCATGCCCTGGGGAAACAGAGATGGTGCTATACCAGCCAAGCAGATTCACTCACTCGGAACCACTTTCTGCTTCCCCATTTTCTCACAGGAGACCATAATCTGTGATTTCTGTGGCTTTTTGCCTTTTCCAGGAAACTGAACTGAGCACGTCAGGGAAAACCAGCATCAGTGAGAGCAGCTGCTGTGGTTTTTCTGTTTCTCTCATGAAATGAGATTTAAGAGGCTGGTGTCTGTCCTTGTCCGTACTCCCTCTGTATCCCTCTGGCATATAGAGGAATAATTAAAGAAAAATTAGTAATCTGTGTTTATGGGTTCCCTTTGCAGACAATACTTGATTAATCTCCACAGTCATCTAGCCAAATAAGAAGAGATTAACCAACATCCTAATCTATCATAAATCAACCAGGCAGGGAGACGAAGAGTCTTACCTTAAGAGACAAACATCACAGAGAGCCTGCATCAGGGTTTAACCTACATCAGTCTAAATCTAATTTAAGCCAACATCAGGACTCTAAAGTCATGGATTTTTAGACTGTTCTTCAAGGCACTGCAATCTGTGATGTGCTATATGCATCTCACACTGCGTATACCTGTCATTATTACTGATTACACCAATTCTTGTCACTAACAAATCAAAGACAATTAGCTCACTGGCTGATTCAAGCATTGGTTGCAGTGGGACCGTAAGTCCCCAACTCGCAGATCTTTTTTTGGAAAGCCAAGATCTGCCAGCTCGATGGAGAAGCACCAGGGGCTGGGATAATTGGAAAAGCAGCAGCTTGCTTTCTGCAGGAAGGCAGCGTGTGTGTTACGGTTTCTGGTGAGCTTTCTGTAATTTGCAGATCAAAACCAAACAAAATCAACCAACCAAACCTTTTCCGGGGACGTTCTGGATTTCCTCAGGCTATAAAAATGTTCAAGCCTGTAACCGAATCAGACCTGTTTTTCTGCATTCCTGATCTATAGTCTACCTCTGCCCTAAAGCTAAGATGAAATCACTGTCTCACACCGATTCTTCCTAAAAGGTTACATTCGCAATCTCTCTAAAAAGTTTCCTCCCAAAATTCTCTTTTGGAACATAAAGGAAACAAATAAGAGTCGTGATAGAAAATATTATAAATGGTATTTTTTCTAGGGATAACGCGTGAAAGATGCAAATGCACGAGTGTGAAAGAGAGACCAGACTCGAAAGATATTCATGAATGTTGATCTTAGCACTATCGACATCTCCTTTTTGTCAGATATGTCATCACAGAGCTGAAGTGAGTAGCAACTGTGAGTCACGATGGCAGCGTGGGCTCTGGCATGATAGGGAACTTGTTTTCTCACCGTCTGTCTGTTCCGTGAGCCATCATCCCCCAACAGCTTGCTCACAGGCTGCTGCCTTTCCAGACCACATGAGAGCAGGATTAAATTCTTAGCTGGGAGGTAATTTTGTGGGTGTTTACCAAGTAAGAACCACGCTGTTCGTGTCTGATGAAATCCAAACCCCTTTAATTGGCCTTTCCTTACTGTGGATAGGCACACAGGACAAACCAGATCTCCTTGGGGCAATAGTAAGAGCATCCTAAAGAGGCAAATATCAGCCCTCTGTGTGCAGAGTGACTGTCTCAGCTTTGGTATCAACAGTGTATTTTCTCCATTGCTAGTAGTTTGCCTTGTCGGTGTCCTGTCTTCCTAGTGGAGATGGAAGAAGCTCATACTAAATCCAAATTATCTTTGTGAGCTTTCTAGAAGATCTTTTATAGATGTATATTCTGATTTCTCATTATTTTGGCAAAGAACTAAAATATCTTGAGAGAAAAATCCTTGCTGCAGCAAAAAGCTGGATATCTAAGGTTGTGGGAAATGCCATGCTATACCAGCCTCACCTTCCATATAATCATCGGTCTTGTGTCTTACAGTATCCACGTAGGTCCTGTAAAGAATAGCACAAGAACCGTAAAGCAGACAATTGTAGCGAAGGGCCCAAATAAAGATGGGCGACTGTGAAATGCATAAAGCTGTAATTTTTAATGCTTCTGTGCATCCTGTGTTATTTGGGCCGACACCCTCAGCACTGATCTAGTGCTTTACGCCTTTCAAGCACCGCACAGCCATGAAATAGGCTGCAGGAAGAAGCAGGCGTTCGGCAGCTAATCACCTGGCAAGCGTTGAAAGGAACAACTTCTCTGTTGCTCAGGGGATGGCCAAGGTAACATCCATCTTTACCTTCTGGGTCTTTCCGCTTAGCTGGATTATATAATTTGATTACTCTTTGGACAAACTGTGGAAGAACGTACGTGCTGTCGTTAATAATGAAAGGAAAAGGGGAAAACAAGAACACTGGTATTGTATTGGCTTTACCCTTTCTCACATAAGCTCTTCAGTATAGAAATTCTTTCCTTTGGCCTCCCTTTTTTTTTACTTCCATTCATTTACTGTGAAGAATTATTGTTTTCTGTAAAATTGTCTGATATATTTTTCAGTAAGGGCTGTAGAGCTGTCCCTGTCTGTGACACTGATCTGCAACAATGAAGAAGCTGTAGACGCTGGGTTTGGCTCGCTCCATGTATCAGAAAAGGGAAACCTGTCAATCAACAAGAAATGCTGAGAGCAGCAACTGAAACTCTTTGCTTTTTTCCATCAGGCAACCAGGGCCTCTTTGAGGATTAAACCTATTGCTAAATTTAGCTACATCTCACTGGAGTTAGTACCAGGAGTTATCAGATCAGAACATCTTTGGAGGGAATGACGTCTGTCCCGTGGAAGTCTAAGCCCTGGCATGCTTCTCCCCTGCCCTGTGCTGCAGCGGAGTTTGGAGCCGGGAACATTCTGCACACCCCGCCCAGCATGGGACTCTTGAGACATCGCAGGATTTTTCAAAGCACTTGAAATACCTGCTCTCATCAGCCTGCTCTTGTTTGTTGTTCCGTCCAGGTCCTGAGCAAAAGTTGTTTGTAACGCTGAAATGGGTGTCGCGGGAGAGGAGGGTGGGTAAACCCTTCTGAAGCGGCCCTGTAGAACCCTGTGCCCCTGCGGGAACGGTTAAAATACGCTGCTTTTTGAAAGATCCATCTTTGCTCTTGGGATGAAGGACGCCTGTCTGGAATTGTACCAACGACTGCCAGCGCTGAGCCATGGAAATTGAAGACAGGTTCCGTATCTCTCGCTATGAAAGGCTTCACTAAGTGAAACTTGTGACTCTTCTTTGTGGCAGTTGTCTTCTCAATACTAATCCCATTCCAGATAAGGTGCTTTGAAGGTGTACAGAGCTTTAATTTTAACGTCTCTTGGAATACGTCTCCTATCTGTTCTTGGTTAGCAGCTATGATTTGACTCAGTCCAAAAGGCTTTGAAGAGCAAGGACTCTGGCACTTAGAAAGCAGAGCAGCAGCTAACAGTACCATGCTAAATAAACATTCACTCTCGTTCAAAGCATCTTGATTTTTTTCAGTTTTAAATGGAAATATTGAAACTCCATATAAATATGCTGGAATTGTGTGTGTGTGGTTGTATGTGCGTGTGTATATTTACCTGTCCCAGGTGAATGTCCCCTTCCTCTTACAGTGACAAAAGGAAAGGCAGAGTCAACTGGTACAAACACCGAAGGAAGTTAGTTTCCTTTTTGCCCCTCCCTGAAATCTCAGAAAGTCTGCTTGGACGACAACACTACAAATACAACAAAAGCAATGGACCTTTTACCATGTTATTGCCATCTAGAACGTGCTCGGGCATACTTGCAGGACGTATCAAAGTTTGATCTCTCCCTTCCCTTCGAATCATTTTGTCATCGGGCCAAGGAGACTTTAAGTAGATCAAGGAGCGTGTGGCTTCTGAGACTGGCGAGAGTAAAAGAAACACGCACATTTCCTCAAGTGCCAGTGGCCAATCAGAGTCACTTCACAATTTTTATTTGTTGACGGCTTTTATAAAACAAAATTCCCCTTGAATCAGACATCTCATAAAACATTTATAGTCTTGCGCATGCTAGTGATACATCAGGTTTCAGTAGACCAGTATCTGCAAAACCAGACAGTTGAGTTGTCAGGTAGAATTCCTGTTTTCTACTGAAGGGGAGGGAAACTCACAAAATTAAGGCACTGTCAAAACCCAAGCCCACAAATCATTTGACCTCTTGTACTGGCTTTCCTCTCATTGTATACAAGAAATTTTTTTTAATTTTTAATGAACCGTCAATTTCAGTTTTGAACAGGGACACACACACACACACACACGAAAACACGCTGTTCTTAAATCCTCTTGTTTATATTCCCAGCTGCCAGATGACAGCAGCAAACCTTATTGCTAGGGATGGCAACGTGCTGCTTAGCTGAGAGCCCAGGGCCACACCCCCACGCTGCCATTTTCACCGCAGTGATCCCAGCCCTTGGCGATCAAAAAAACCTCAGAACGAGTTCTGGTCTTTTGGGTGCAATGCTTCAGATGACATTTTTAAGAATAAAATCAGTTATAAGAACAGCTTAAAACTAGTCTAAAAGCCAGTATTCACTAAGCAGAACGTGAACGAACTGACAGACTCCTCCCTGAGCCATGCAAGGCATTTCATATTCTTCTTCACGCATTGGGCACAAGCTGCTTTCACAGACCAGTGGTTTGGCTGACAGGGACCTACGAAGGATAATGGACATCTTCAGCTGGTGTGCTTTTATCAGTCCTTTAAAATCGTTTTAATCAGCTGGTGTCAAATCCACTTCTTCAGGCTTTACACCTTAAATTAAGAATATAGGAAATGCTCCTTCCTGCATGCAGTGAGAGCGTTCAGGCCGTCCTTCAGCACACCAAAATCACCGCTTCAGGCACAAACCAGCATGTAGCTGTGGGCTTAGGGCCATACTTCGAAGTATCCGATTCTCTATATAAAGATGCAACATTTTAAAAAAGCCAGTTTCAGGTCCATGAATCAGGTGCCCTGGCAATCATAAATAAATAGTAATAAATACTTATTTACACTCACACACCCTTCTTGTATCCCACAGGATTACAAACAAACCAGAACCATGCTTCTTCCCTAGTTAAATATGATCAGGTTTGAGGTGGGACACGCTAGGATTAACAACGTGCAGTGACGCTACACAACGGTTTAGAGTAATAACAGTAGCAATACATAGCACTGGGAGCATTTCACAGCTTGAAAGCTCTTGCAAACACAGACTTAGTTAAGAAAGTGACAATGTTCTATCCAGCGAGAATCAGAGGGAACCTAGGCGAGAGAAACGGAGTTTGGCTAGGACACCAGAGCTGATGTCCTTACTGCATATAAAATGTCACATTAATTGGAGACATGGCAGATGTGGGAGCTAGGAAAAATTAGATCAGGCTCATATGAGACCATTTCATTTCCTTGAGTATGAAATCCAATTTCCACATTGATTGTATCTAAACAGTTTGTTGTTTTGGTAGACATCAAAAAGGTCAATGAAAACTCAAGGGAACTTAGGAGTTGCAGGAGCACAAACCATTACCTCCATTCATAAATAAACACAGGGAAAGATTTTACATCAATTGAAAATGCTGCATCATAATTGCTGACAGCCTGGGAATTGGCACCCACTTATCATCCTGGCACAAATCTACAAATCCCTGAAAATATGATCAGGAGAGAGAGACAGAGACCAAGAAGCAAGCAGCAACACAGAGAGCACAAATGAAATTCAGGGACCCGCCTGGCAGTGTCTTGGCTTCCACCTCTCCTCTGGAGTCTGAGAGAGGACTGGAGGATAGAGGAGGTCACAGGTGGCTTTGAGACTCAGCTCTGGAAGAATTTTCTTGGCCTGTTTACCACGTGGTTGCTTTTTTATTCAGCTTTTTTCGCTTTCCGTTTCCTTGTGCCTTCATTTAGCTCCTCTTTTGACTTTGCAGGAGGAGGCGGAGGATGGGAAACCTCATGGGAGGCCCCATGCTGATCATGATGATGACTGGTGTGTCCACTGGAAACAGAGCCAAAGAAAACTGGGCAGATGAAGTTTTCCACTGGAGCAAAAGGTGAGGCGTGAGAGTGAGTTGCCGTCATGAAAACCTGCCGTGCAACAGTGAATACTTAGTTAAAGATCACATACACCAGCTATGAAATACTAACTAGTAAGGAGCATTCCACCTACCCCAGATAAACGTCCCTATTGCTACATGACTCAAGGCTACATCACAAGGATCTTCTGCCATGCTGCCTATATGATGGAGAATTGAGCCTATAATTTCCCGAGCAGATGCTCCCTGGTACGTACAGCCAGTGCCCTCAGTAGTGGCTTAGGAAGGTGAACACCCCCAGTTTAAGTCTGTACCCTTTCTCTGGTTCTGTAGACTTGTTAGCAGCAAACCTGCTGGACACTTACCTTGCAAACTATCATGAACATGGTGAAAAAGAAGATGAGGTTGGCTTCAGAGATAGGGAGCCAGCGAGTCTGTTGCAGAGTGAAGAGGATTGTGCCGTACAGACTAGCCTTTGTAGGGCTAGAAGAGAAATAAAGAAGTTTTCTAGGAGGTTTGCATCCAGTCCTGAATGGTTCTTTAAATTCCATTTTTGGTCTGACAGAGAATTTACAGGCTACCTACTTACAAGGACATATGAAGAATTTCGTTTGTTTCTGGCTTCCAGACCCCACGCAGCAGTTGCTCAAAGTTAGACATCAGGGCAACACCAGAACCTGTGAAACAGTAAACGTGAACAGCTAGAACTGCCACAGCAGCGAGAGCTCTGCTGTCTTCTCTAGCTCCCCAAGGGATAAGGATAACCTAAGGGGAACAAAAGGTTCATGACATTCTTCCCAAATTTAAAAGAAGTTAGCCTAAAACAACAGAGCAGGGCAAACACTTTCTAGACTGTATTCTATAAAGCGTTTCCTGATGCAGGGAAAGGGCATTCGCCTCTGTTCCATTTACTGATGCCCAAATGCTTGCTCCAAACAAAAGCTAAAGGAAAACCGACTGGGCTGTCTGAACACTGATAGAACCCCCCGGAAAAGATACAGGCGAGGCCAGAGACGCTAGAACACAGGAGAAAGGATAAAGAATTCCTGAATTCTACAGCCGTATTTGATAGTGACTCCAGTTCTTTGTGCCTCCATTAAAGTTAGCTGCTGACTCCACTGTCGACCATTCTGCAAGGACGAATCAATCCCTGTGTTCTAGGGAACTTGACTGATTGGAGCCAGCTGACCACATCCACTACCCAGCCCTCGGTGACGTGGTCACCGTAAGCTTCACTTGCAGCTTCTCCTGTCCCTCCCCACAGCGCTGGGTGCCTCCCTGCTGCCTTAAGAGCATCTCGCCTTTCACCTTTGACCCATCCAGTAGCCATCATAATGAACCACCCGTGGTGGTAACGGTGATGAGCGTGGTGGACCCCAGCTGCAATTTTGCGAACTCTGACCACCTCCTTCATTGCCACAAAGATGAGCTTCATAGGCAGAAAGCTAACGCACTTGTAGAAGAGGTTCATGGGACAGAAGAATATCAAATACCTGGAACAAAACCACAAAGAGTTTCAGGACCCATTTGTTTGTCCTGATCTGGGACGTAGAGAGGATTAAGAGTACCGTGGCGTCAGCCTGAATTACGTCAGGGAGAAGGAAACGCTGGGTCTGTCACACAAAAGCGCCTACAACCCATACGCACCGAGGAAATGAAACTTGGAGTAACTGTGGTTAATTTGTGCACGTTTCACTAACATGATGAATAAAATGCCCCCAAATTTTCAGTGTGTGCCACTCCTCTGCTATATGTGGTATCAGTGCAGTGCATGCTGCTTTTGCGGTTTGGCCACAGCTCAGCTGCGGCAGCTATGAATAGAAATGCCCGGCGATTGGACTGGACCCAACCCGTACAATCAAAGCACAGACAACTGGTCAGAGAAACTGGAAACTAGATCTAGGAATACAAAAGACTCAAAGACAACCTCACCCCACCTTTCCCCAGTTAATCCAAGCAAGATAATAGATTGGTGTCACACAAACAGAATACCTCCCTTCACACCGGATGGTTTTGTACACAGCCAGTGGCGTCTCATGCTTAATAAATTAGGTGAAGTGCAAAAGACTCACCAGACTGCTGTGGCCAGGATGACACTGGAGTTATTACTGAAGTAATCAATGGGGGATTCTCCAAGTAACAGATCAGCAAGTACGTAACTTCCAAAGCAGTGCAGCATAGCACAAAGCCAGGAGGCAAAAGGGCTCTTACGAGACATCTCCACGGCTCCTGTGAAGCAAATTCTAAATGAGAAGATGGATTCAGCAAGTAAGCAGAAACTTCAAGACCCTCTAAGAAAGAGGCTTGCAGTGCATGTTCTTCAACAAAATAAGTCAAAGAAAAGTGCTTGTAAAACAAAATACAAAAACGTGTGTTCTGTGAAGCCTGAACACGTACCAGATATTGTCAAGCAATGATATGCGTGATCGTAGCTTGCAGGCCCCCCCGTAAGGTTTCAAATGAACCGAGTCATTAGAAGTTTATGAACTGGCTAAGAGTTTATCTCCTGTATTTGCTGCTACTTACTGCAATCAGAAAGAACAATTTTTCCCTTGAAATCAATGTCTTTTTACAGTCTAAAAATAAAATGCATACTAGTACCATTCTCTCCATTGCTTCAACCTAGGTGCCCTCTAGAATTCATGAACAATCTGCTCAGCTCTTTCATTCATAAGATAACCTGTAAAAATAGAACAGTAATTCTTAATCTTTATTTCAAAGAAGAGGGTTTGAGGATTCTTCCCTGCTCCTGTACTAGTTTGGAAATGCCCTCTGAAAATACAACTAGATATTAACACAGTGTTACTATGTGGTAATACGTTATGATCTCCTCCCACAACCTTCTCTTGCATTTTTTTTATTCCTCTAGCCGTTTTCATCCACCTCTGTACTTCTTCAACGAAGTCGCTCAAGAACATCAATCCTCTAAGATCGTTTCATCACCTTAAACTGCTCCAGAGTCCTTTGTGCAGCGCTTCAGCTACCAAACTCTGTTCAGTAAGCCAGTAACAGGCAGTCAAAAGCGAGAATGCTAAAATGTTATGTCAACATTACTAACAGTAGCCTACCTTAAATAGCAGTAAGTGAATCAGCATATGCTAAAACTATGACTGCTCATACTCTTCCATCCTCAAAGACATTTAAACCAGCTGAAAACACAGTGGAAGCGAGACAGCTGCAACAGCCATGATATGAAGCTGGTTCTATAGGAACCTGAAGTTTAGCTTGAGGCTTAAATTTAGTAACACTTGTTTTTCTTTGGCTCCATGAAGCCACGCCGTCTCCAAGGAGGAAACAGGACATTACTGTCCTGACACTGATCTTCAGCATAGGAGCTGTGGGATGAAGCAGTGTAGGAATGTGGTGAAAAGTACACCCCGGCCTTATCCAGGCCAAGTGGATTACTGGGCTTACATATTTTTAAAAGCTGTTTTCATAAGGGTTGCCTTGTTAACTGTTCCGTTCAGGACTTAATGCTGGAAGACAGCTGTAAGTGATCAGGCCTCGAAAACCCAGCACTTCTGTTTATACAGAGTTTAAATAGAACAGTATGCAGATTGTACAGCACCGAGATCTCACAACTGGAGGATTTAAAAATCATACCACAGCGTGGGTGGTTTTTTTCTCCTCAGTCATCGGGCAGTTACACTGAAACCACTCAAAACAGAGCACGAAGAGCGCACACGGTATCAAAAATACATAGAGAAGACGGCATTCGGAAAAGACCAAGGCACAGTCAGACTGCAAGGGTGCAGAAAGTGAAAGCTAAGATGCAGCTCTATCGATCTTTACAAGATAAGCCCAGGGGAACAAACAAAGCAAGGTCGGTCAGGGTGCCTGAGAAGAGATTACGGCATGGTCTGGAAGGTGGGAAAAAACAAGGTTTTACTTACAGCCTTTTTGTATATAAATAGGAGTGGAGTATTGCCACAAAAATAGAAAAGCTGAGCAACTGGACAGAAAGGTAACACTAAGTCCTGGGATAGCAGCAAAGTAGTGACTGAACTTGAATACTTCAATGTGGTTGGAACCCAATCTTAAATAAAAGGCAAGATTAATTTTCAAAATCAGAGTGACTAATTCTTGGGTTTGTTCTGCTTTCTGTTTAGACACGTGTGTCAGAACCTCTGACAAAAAGCAGAGCAGCAGGGCTCCGAGCCCTGAATCCCACCACACGCACAGCACCGTGGCTGCTTACAGCGAAAACTGCCGAGCACAGCACAGGCGGGGTCGCCACAGCACAGGCGGGGTCGCCAGAGCACAGGCGGGGTCGCCAGAGCACAGGCGGGATCGCCAGAGCACAGGCGGGATCGCCACAGCACAGGCGGAATCGCCACAGCACAGGCGGAATCGCCACAGCACAGGCGGGAGCGCGCCAGGAAAGGCGGGGGGGGGGGAGCACACGGGG